AGAAGAAATCACAAGATCTACGGAACCGGGAATTCCGGAATGCAGCTGAGGGGAGTGCGGAATAAGCTGGCTGGATGACGTCTTGGTGGTGGTGGTGCCCGGCCCGGGTTGTGTGCGGCCCGGGTTGTGTGCGGCCTCGGATGTGTGCGAACAGCCGTTTTGAGGCAGTCGTGTTTCGAAATTCGAAATTTGCAATTTGAAATCTTCAGTTCAATGAGAGGTTCTTGTGCTACAGAGACAGAGGAAGTCTCGCCGTTGTTGTCGGTGTTGACTGGTTTCACCTTCGACGTTGCTTCACCAGGCGAGCAGCCTTGCGCCTCGCTTACAACCAAGCAAGTCCTGTTGGACCGCCGACTTGAAGCTCCTCGTGGCTGCCCCCCCCCGATGCCCGATTGTGTAAGACTAGGGTTTGGTGACGGAGACAAAATTACGCCGCGCCTGTTTCTGACGGTCGCCCTACAGACGTTGGACGGGCTGATGAAGGAGAGAGGGTGGTTCCAGCGGCACCACTCACGTACGTTGTTCAGCCTAGAGCAGATCCAGGTCAAAACCAACGACGTGAAGCCGGAGGTGGTACTGGATCTCGCTGACGTCGCGAAGTACGATGACTTCAAGGAGGAGGCCGCTGATGAGACTGAGCGACTACGCAAGGCTCAAGAGGTATTCTTGAAGTTGGCCACGGCTGGCCACTTGGATGATGCCGGGTCCAGGGAGTGGAGGGTGATCAAGAAGATTATGGATGCTTTGCAGGCGCCGATGTCATACTTGGGCGACTTGCATAACACACTGCTCAATGTCTACCGCGGGTACGAGGCTTCTGGCGACTACAAGTCCGGTGTCTGGAAGGGTATCTGCCGTCCGATGCTGAATGTTGGAGGCGAAGTGGAGCAGGTGATGGTTGCGCCTAGTAGTAAGCCCCTGTGTCCCCGTTGCGACCCCGGACCGCTGGTGAGCCTGCCGGTGCCGGGCAGCGTGACCCACAACGTAATGACCAACCCCCGTTCGATCCCCAACGCAAACATGTTCGTTCCCGCCCACGCTCGCGTCCCGATTAGCGAGTGGGGTGTGGAGGGCCCGAGTGGTGAGGTCTACACATTGGACGGTAAGTGGCCGGTGTGGGATAGTGTGCAGGGTACTTGGGGAGAGGAAGTTATTCGCGCCTCCAAGATGCTGACGGCCGAAGCCGAGAAGCAAGGTGTCCAGGTTACGGAATACCCATGGACATTCACCTGGGATAACACCGACCTCGACATGAAATTTAAGTGTGACGCTAGCCAGGAAGATTGTGGGGAGAAGGTCCGGTCGGTAGTGGACAAGCAAATCAAGCTCTGGCGCGTTGCTAATCTGGGCGACCTCGTCAAGTCCTACCGTTTGTCTCCGCAACTCGTCAAAAACCTCGAGAAGCAGGCTGAGCTCCTCGGGGATCTTGCCCGCAACAGGGACCTGGGCGACCGTGGCTGGTACATAGGCAGCTACGCACAAGCCTACGTCATGCTCGAGTTCGACGAACACGGCAAGTCCTCACTGCGCTCACCACCATCCCCAATAGCCTGACCGCGAAGTCCGTAGACGAAGCGGAGCGCAAACAGAAGAATTTCTGGAACCAAGTGCGAATTGACGCAGGATGCAGCGACTGGGATGACTACGCGACCGGTCACGGAGACAGCGAAGCTGCCGGGCACGGAGACAGCCAGGCTACGGGGCACGGAGACAGCCAGGCTACCGGTCAATAAATGGCCCCACGAGCCTTTTTTCCGTCACTGACAGAGCGGCAAATGACCGCGCACCAGTGTAGAAGTGTGTGACTCAGTCGGGAGTGGAGGGAGGGAGGTCGGTCGTCACGGGTACCGGTGGGTGATGGTCTACGGGTCTTGTCAAATATGCGTCCCTGATGTCTTGCCAGACATGCACCCCCACACTTGCAACCACGGAAGGCGTCGGGCGGCAGTCGATCGGTTCAACATTACCTGCAAGAGGTAAGTAAGTGAGATCCATTTGCGTCTGGCTGTCCAGGCTCCTCCAAGTCGTGCTGGAGAGAGCCAGGTAACCTGGAGGTCCGGAAGAGTGGCTTGTGACTACACCAACCTAGGCTTCGAATAGGCTTCGTAAACCCCTTCCCGATCCTGCTCCTTGGACGCGTTCGAGGCGCTCCAAACGGTACAAGCTGGTAAGGGAGCTCGTGATACCAACATAGCCGGCTCGTCGCAAGGGCCAACCATTCGATATATGACTCATTCCTCGCTGCGTGGAAACCATGAGGCCGTTGATGAAAACCACACCCACGGCAAGCGACGACTTGATCTGGTTGGTGAGAGCGCCCGTGGATGGGACCTGAGTGGTCCAAGGTCCACAAGAGAGCGAATCGTGGTCGCTGACAGAGCAAGTGCCGGCAGTATACAGAATTGTGGTTGGGAAAGGTACTCGCTCATGTCACTCCAGTGGTTCACGGTTACTGGGAGAACGAAACGAGGGCAGGTGACTCGTTGACAAGCGAATGAACTAGGAGACTGACTCGTAGTGATCGTGAAGCTGGCACCTGAATGGCAGATGGTTACGGAGCGGTAGAAGGAGACTGTAAGCACGCGCTGATGAAACTACAGCGTTCGGCGGCTGGCGGAGGCCCGAAGAAGCGGCAAGAGACTGGACCCTGGAGAACAATTTGGGCGGCTCGCTTATCTCTATCCTTGAGAGTCGTCATACCTTAGTCGTCTACTAATTGACGAGGTTCTGATGTTTGCAATCGATTTGATGTCCCTACTCGTAACTACCGGTAACACAACATCAGTTCTCCCACACTCT